CCACACCACTGACATGCTATCAGATCTGGGGATGAGCTCAGGGCTCAGGATGGGGGCCTCATCTAGATAAGTGTCCAGAACACAAAGTACTTATTTCAATAATCCCAAGCATCAAGGCATTCATCCTAACTGTCTCCATGGGGAATCCAACACCCTCTATCAATTAACTTTGCCCAGCCTGGGGCCATGTGAACTATCTCCCAGCTTGGATCCCTGGATTCCCTCCTCCTCCTCTGTGAAGACAGAGGCTTTTATCCACCAGCAGTTATGTAGGCTTCAAGGTTGAGTGAGTTCTATTTCTATTTGTTTGGGGAAATGGCAACCAGGAGACTCATTCAAGCCTATAATGGATACTGTATTATCTGAAAGCAAATCAGATAAAATTTAGAACAAAATGGGCTTTTCTCTTTTCCAGAGACTCTGTGTGACATTGAGTCTTTGCCCCTTATCTGTGCCTCAGTTTATCTATCCGGCAAATAGGAATAATAGCCATGGTCTCAATGAAAGTTCAAGCAGTCATCTTGCCTATTGAACCCTTGTCCCTCCACAGGTGCCGTTGGTGAAAGCACATGACACTCAAGGTAAACCTGGGTAGAATGGATTGGGTTCTGTTTTATGCTCAAACCCTATGTAACTCCCCTGCCCTTTGAGGGTCTTGTAATGATTCCTGTAGCCTCAAATTCTCATTGTAGCATCTTGCAAACAAACAAACAAACAAACAAAATCTTTAAGTGTTTGGCTAACTAGTGACAAACCTAGATATAATATATAGGGGTGGGATGGCTAATCTTAGTTGTCAAGTTGACAACAGCTGAATCAGCTAGATCCAAGCAGCTGGACACACCTGTGGCTATTCTTGAGTGCCTCAGTTGAGGTCGGAAGACCTACCCTAAATCTGAGTCACACCTTCTTGTAACAGCCCACATAAATTGTTATAGAAGAAGGAAGCTCTTGTTTTTTGCCTGCTTGACTTCACTCTAACCAACAAGTTCATCTATCCTGCTGCTGAGGCATTCCTTCACTGGTATTGGAACCTACTTCTTCTCTGTGATTCCAGCTTACGCTGAAGACATCCAGCCTCATGGAATGAGCAATTGTTGGATTCTTGGCCTTTCTGTCAGGAGACAACCATCATTGGACTAGGTGGACAACAGCCTATATACCACTTGAATAAGTCAGATTTTAATAAACATGTATAGATCCATTGTATCAGTCCCATTCCTCTAAAGAACCCTGCCTAATTATACAGGTGGCTACATAATGGTTCAGAGAGGAATCTGGCTTCAAATGGTTTACGTTTAGGCCTAAGGCACACACTGTGCTCCTTGAAGCCTGTGAAACACCAGCAAAAGAGTCCAGACAGTTTTGAGAAAGGAGAATTCAGGCTAGCACCTGATTTCCTGACTAAGAGAAAAGTACCTGTTATCATATACAGAATTTGTAAGTATTCAAGAGGAAGAAGTGTATCAAAAGCTGTTAAAATTGAGGTTAATAACAGGTATCTTTACCTCTTTAGAATAATTACTGATTAATTATATGCTGTTCAAAAATCAATAATCATCTAAACTTTAAGGCTCAAGGTACAAAGGAAGGGAAAAAATTTGTCTCAAGCTAGCCAGCACCCTTGATGACTTTGAGACATTTCTTATAAACAAGCAATGAGAAGGACCAATGAGGAGGTCTGTCCAGCAATACAGGCAGTCAAACGGGAAGTTTCACTCAGAGAGAGAGAATTTATAAAGAACTATCAAGTCTCTTACCCAAGTTTATTGAGAAAAAAACATAGCTATGAATATTTATGTCTATGTATACCTCTATCTATCCATATATAGTTATAGATATCAGGATAGGGACATGCACAGAGAGAGGGGGAAGGGAGGGAGGGAGAGGGAAAGGGGAAGAGAGGAGAATAACATAGAGGGTTAGAAATTAAGCTGTTTGGAGAACTATCAACTAATATGTGTAGGTTGTCACAGATGCATGGGAAGCCTCAGTGGCGGATCTGATGACTGCATTGCTCCACCATGTGAATGAACACCCAGTGACAATTCTGTCAGGCCCAAGCTGGGGTAATTCTCCTTCATAAGCTTTTCCCAAACATCCACAGTCTCATTGTCTTCAGCGTATCACAACTGTTGTTGGTCAGAAATGTGAGGCTTCAAGTATGAATGGGAGATGAGATGGGAGACTCTCCAGCAACAATGTGGACCCTCAGTAAGGGTAAAATCTTTACCTGGCCAGGCACTGAAGCAGGCATCCCTGACTAACAACAGCCAGGCTTTAAAGAACAGGCATGAAGCAATAGGGTCATAGATTTATAGAACTTTCTTAGACCTGTCAGAAAAATTAAGTGCCCAGGACAACTGTTTTAAAAAAGAAAATCAGGGAAGCATGGTTTTAACGCACAGTCTATCTATAAAGTAAGGTGTTTAGAATACACAAAGAATGATCAGACAATAGAAGTTGAAGAGGGTATTGATTATGGTACTTCCATAAAACTGGAATAAGGGAGCCAGAGAAGAACCAAATGCATGCCCTGGGAAACAGAGATGTGAAGAGGACATGCTGGCCTTTCTTGGGGGTCAAAGGGTAAGATGACTTAGGCTCCTGACCGTGAGTATGTCTGTATGGTGCTGCACTAACCAGACTAGGCCAACAGAAGATGCTAATGCCATCTGGTGTCACGGAGTTATGCAGCAGAAGACTCCATTCAATAGATCAGCAGGGAAAGGCTGTTGGAATTACACACCACGGTCTGGGAGCCGTGGAAGAGCCCAGGCGGGAATCAGGTTTGCTACTGAGCTAATTGTGCCTGGGAAAAGCCCTTCAATGAAATTTGCTTCCATGAAAGCAAAAACAGCAGAATTTCCTACTGGATCACTCATGTGACAATGAAAAATAAACTTAATTCCCTGCTTTCAAGTGGTGCAGCTATTGTAGGATGGCCCCTACTGACATTTGTTAAACAATCCGATGTAATTTGGGAATAAAAGTCTGGCTCCGTGGCTGTACTGAGTTAGCTGAGAATGTTCAGATTCATGAGGGGGAGTCCCAGTAGGACTTCTCACTCTGGCTGAAACTTGGGGTTGCTGTGTAGGAATTCGAGAAATATTTTGGGTGCAAAGGCTGGGAAGGGTGGAGTGTTGTTTCCTATCTGCAATAAGCTGTCAAGTGTTCTGACTGCATTCTGTAAACAAGAATAAAGTAGGTAGGAATGCAGATTTGTTGGAGCATTCCCAAACGTCTGGGGACTTTATCTGAGCTACTAAACAAACAAAAGGTCTCTGGCTTTGAGGCTGATAAGAAGGCCAAGTGTAGGGTCTGGTATTCACCCTCACATGTGGGCCTCCCGCTGTTCTGCTGAGGGCAGTGTGGCCTCTCTGTACATAGAACATTCTAGGCCCTTCCAAACATTCCTAAATTACTGCACTCCACAATTACCATCCTCAGGGGCCGAATTTCATTCTCTGAAAATTGGTACCAGGCCACCTCAGCTGATGAGCTTGAGGGGTATCCAGGCAACAGTTGTACAGCGTAACAGTGGAGAGATACAGGAGGGGTGTGCTCACACTGCCTGAAGCTCAGGGCCTTGCCTTAGGCTACAGCCCAGAAAAGTCTTGCCTCAAATTGCTAGATCCCATCTGAAAATCATCTCATCATGTCTCATTAGCCTTTTTTGGTGGGGGAACTTACCCTGATCTGGTGGGTTAAGCTGGGGCCTAAGATATTTGACCCCAGAACTTGTTCACACAAAACAAAGAAAATCATCCATTCTTTTAGTTAGCAAATGTGATCTAGCTCTGATCATGTTGTGGCCACTCTTTTGAATGCTTACTTTGCACCAGTAGAGAAAACATGAAGTGCACGCCATGGCTGACTTCCTCCTACCTGTGGAGGGAAAGAACATCAGGAGAGAACGCCACAGATGCTGTCATTGAACTGTGTCCCCTCAGGGATGTTAGATGAGTTCCTAATCCCTGATGCCCCCTGATGGAGACAAGATCTTCATAGACGAGAAGTTAAAAAGAGATCATTACTGAAGGTCATAGTGTCAGTAATGAGCCATGATGCTTAAAGACAAGGCAGGTTTGGATGCAGATTTGAAGATTGAAAAACCAAGTAAAGACATGGAAACAACATTATCTGCAAGTCAGAATGCCAAGAAAAACCTGGAGACTAGTCTAGAACATTCTCACACAGGCTCAGAGGGGCTCACTACACTCTCACCTCCATAGCAGACTGAGTCTCTAAGACCAGAACACACACAGACCTGATGTTTAAGGTCCTTTATTTTGGGATATAGACCCAAGAAAGTGACATCGCATGGCGTATGCTGTAGTTGAGTTAAGTTTAGCAAAGTTCAAAGGCAAAGACTTGATCTCTAGCACCCCAGAAAGTGATCTGCCTTGGTTATGCCTAAGTTTCAACTTTGAATGAAGACAGAGGAGATGTAGGACAGAGGAGGGCAAAGGGGGACATCACCTTTTCTTAAAATAATGATTGTGTGCTGGGTTGCTTTCCGAAAGAGAGAGGAGAGAGGGAGGTCCCGAGAGGAATTGGTTGGTAGTGCAAAGGCTTTGGGAAAGTTGGGTGGGTCAGACGAAGGCAATTGCAGTGGGAGTGATGGGAGGAGGTCTGGACAGGCTGTGCATGTATGGCTTAGAGTGTTTCCTAGGTTATGTGGGACCCAAGAGAGGAAAGTCCCATGTTCCAAATGTGAGCCATTAGACAAATAGAGGTGCCACATGGAGAAGTGAAAGGATGAGGGGAGCAGTTCCACAGGGAAGGTTCCATGCCTGGGTCAGAAGTAGGGGACTAGCTGCATCAGAGACATTTACCTAATACTCAGGGAAGTGCTGGGCTAGCTGCATCAGAGACATTTGCCTAATACTCAGGGAAGTGCCGGGGAAGGTTCCATGCCTGGGTCAGAAGTACGGGACTAGCTGCATCAGAGACATTTACCTAATACTCAGGGAAATGCTGGGCTAGCTGCATCAGAGACATTTGCCTAATACTCAGGGAAGTGCTGGGCTAGCTGCATCAGAGACATTTGCCTAATACTCAGGGAAGTGCTGGGCTAGCTGCATCAGAGACATTTATCTAATACTCAGGAGATGCTGCCTGGAAGTTGTCCATGGGAGCTTGGTGCCTAAGAGACAGGTTCTGGGATAGAGGTATGGACTAAAGTTACCATACAACATCTGCAGAGAATGCTGTGGAATGACAGGGACAGAGGAGAGATGTTGCCTCCATCATTTTTCAAGTCCAAGGTTAAAGGGCCTGTGGTGTGGTGTGTTAAATTCCAGTCCCTCTTTTCTACCCCAAATGTGAATTCTGTCCACCAGCCCCTCCTGCTCCCACGGGTTAGTACTTACACAGGCTCTGAGAACTTGGGCCACTCTGATGAACTCTCGGAGGTTGCCTAGTGGCAAGAGTCACCTAAGCATTCTTTGATGTGCAAAAGCAGTTCCAACCTCATTTTTAGAATACCAACGGGGTCTTCCAGAACCATAATATCTCAGTGGTATTTCCAAAAGCAACCCTCCAGGCCAGCTTTGGCATGCAGCACCACTGCCTGGTGGGTCCCATGGACAGGCCCTTTCCAGCCCACGCAAGCAAAGGGACCACACCATTCCCACAGCCACAGGACTTTTTGCAACCTGGACTTCTCCTGGTAGAGAGTCTATGCCTGCCTCTCTGGCCCTAGGGACACGCCCCGGGGACACTTAGGGACAGCTATTGAAATGCACAACATTGCTCCCTATCTCCTGAGGGCTGTGCAACCTCTGTGAAGACACTTAGCAGATTTCGTATTTATAGAGAGCCTTTCTTACCAAGAGGCTTAGAGCACAGGTCTCATTTCATTAATCCTCACAGCAGGGTGTGGATGGTGGGTAAGAATTGTCAATTTTACCTAATGTGGAGGCAGAGCTATGAGAGGTTAAATGACTTGCTGAAGGCTGTGTGATGAGTCAGTCCTGGAGCTGAGGCTGCAGCCTGGATTCCCAGCTTCTGCTCGACCACCTCGCACTTCCCTTCAGAAATAACATCATGGAAGGTGGACTAAATTTGAGAGCTTGAAATGAAACCCTTGTGATATCCAGTGTGCCACTTAACCTTTCCCTGACCCAGTGTCTGAATCCATAAAATGGGGATAATAGTACCTGCCATCTCAAGAGTCACTGAAACGTTATGAATATTAATCTTCTCAGTGATCAAACCCCTTGGAAAAAGCTGCCACATAAACTCAAGTTTCAGGTTAAGATCAACAACTTGTATATTATCCAATGATTAGGTAAGCTCGCTGGTTTCCTATGTGATAGGGAGAGGGCTCTGACAGCAGGAGGAAGGGTTTTGAAGGTCTACATTTTATTTATTGGCGAGGAGCTGTTTTCTCTTTTTGTGTGAGCACATGTTCCTTTATGCATGCGTTTGTGTCTGTGCACAGATGTGGATGTCAGAGGACAACTTTAAATGTTGTTCCTTAGGCCCCATTGATCTTGCTTTTATTTATTTATTTATTTATTTATTTATTTATTTATTTATTTATTTTTTGACAGGATCTCTCACTGACCTGGAACTTTAAAATAAGCCAAGCTGCCAGGCTAGTGAGCTATAGGGACCCTCCTATCCTTACCTTCCTGTTCCTCAGTGGTGTGGCTATTAAGTGTGCCATCCATTGTGCCTGTTTTTATTTTTTTAGCATGAATGCTGAGGACTGAACTCAGGTTCTCATGTTTGCAAGACAAGCATGTAACACAGTGCTAACTTCCAAAGATTATGTAGGTATTAGGAGGTAGTAGAAGTTTTTAAATGTCCAAAAGTTTTCTCAGTGTGGCTTCTCAAGCTTTTACTTTTCTGTAAATAGTTGTGACTGGTCTAGATGCTCTCATTTTGTGAGCCCATGTTCAGAAGAAGCCAGGAAGGGCTTGTGGCTTGATCTCTGCTCTGGATTTCTGTTCAAAGGCCAATATCCTCTGTACCTACAGAAATGGCAGTGAGACTTGAATTTATTTCCCCGTCCCAACATTGTCTAGTTCCCCACATGACTTAGAACAGTATACCCCAGAGTTAATAGAGCCCGAGGTAGGGCGTTTGCCTCTTCTGTTTGAAATCAAATGTCTGATCTTTATCTGCAGTGACAGGTTTAATGCCTTTCTTCTCTGACAAATTTTCAGTTGGGAGGAATGCAAACACAGGCACTGGTGCAGTTACAGGAAGGGCTAATCCGAGCACACTCGTATTGGCAGCTTGATCTTTAACGAATAGCAGAGCCCGCGTGTAGCCACTTCGCTAGGAGAGAAGGAAAAAGAAGAGAATAAACAAAACTCTATAGACTTCTCCGACACTTCCTTGGTTGCGCTGGGATAGACATGGCATACTTTCAGTCTAGAGGTGTCAACATTGACCGGATCATTAAGGGCACGCATGGCAGAGGAAGAAGGCAGGGAGATCCAAATTGAAGGAGTTGCTGTAACTTAACTCTGGTTACCTGGATTGTATAGATTGGTTCCAGTACTTGAAGATGCTGGATTTTATTTTCCTCTATGGAAATGCAGTACTCTGAGAGCCAGGTGGCCCACCATTTATTTGTCTATAGACCTCATTCCATAAAGAGTTTGACTTGTGAAACTAGCCCCTGAGCACCTTAGACTGCCTGTGCACATGGGAATGCTCAAGGAAAGGTAGAGGTTAAATCACTGCAGATCCAGAAGGAGCCACCTACATGGAGATGAGACATTTGTGGCAAAAGTTCTAATGTTATATACACTATGGGATTATATTGTATCACAGTATATGGAATATAGTTTAAGGTGATTCTTTTTAAAAAGTTATTATTCTAATATATAATATACATATGTATATTATATATATACATATATATATATGTATATATATATATATTGGTTTTCCCTATGGAGGCCGGAAGAGGATGTCCAATCTACTGGAACTGGAGTTACAGACAGTTGTGAGCTACCATGTGGGTGCTGAGATCTGAACTTGGGGCCTTTGAAGAACAGTCACTGCTCTTAACTACTGAGTCATTTCTCCTCTCCCTAAGCTGATTCTCTTTTGGTTGAGTTAAAAATTCATAGGTATAGAGAAACTCAGAAGAAAACCATGCGTGGACTTGTGACTGTGACCCATCTGAAGCGCAGTGGGCACTTGTCACGAGGAAATGGCAATCTGGCACTCTGCTACTGTCTGATCTAGCATAACCTTTAGCATACTGTAATATTTAAATGAAAATTTGGAAACAAAGCTGTCTGTCTGGAGGATGAAACATTGTCTCTGATGTTATTTTCTCGGTAGCATTATTTATCTAGTCCCTCTCCCCACTCCTTTTACTCACAGTGGCTAAGCATGCAGGTACTAGCTCCATCCATGCAAAGCTAACTGCGGGGCCTCCTTGGGAAGGACACATGATGGGAGGAAGACGGTCTTCCTATTCCTGGCAGGAACATCTGGTAGATCCTAGGATCCGAAAGTCATAAGATTTTATTTCCAACTGATGACTTTTTTCCTCTTTTTGTGCCAGTGACTTTGGCAGATTGTCCCTTTTTAGGAACTCTTGGTTATACTTAAGTAATGAGTAAATTCTGAAGTCCTTGATTATTTTTTAATGGCTGCAAAATGACTCTTCCACTAATTGAATCATTTTCCACGTCAAACTAATTGGGAACCAGTCCTCTCGTGCTTGTCATCATTACAGGCCACCAGACTTAGGCTGCTGCAGTGTGCTCATCTCTCTTTGTTCCTCTCGCTCAGGCCCCCACTTCTTTCACCACTTAGAGCCTGCCACGTCAATCTCTGGGCCTTCTGTTGTTTTGGGTTACCCTGCTTGGACACCCCTTGGACTCAGGCACTGGGAGTCAGTGAGTCACAGAGCTTGCTGCAGACTTATTTATTAAAGAAGTTAAACCTTCCTTTATACCCCCTCTCAAGGCCCTATTGGCTCAGGCGGCTGACTCAGCTGCATGTCCTTTCCTCATTGGTGTCTGTGGATCAGGTGTCTCTCTGTCAGCTATCCAGGCATTGAGGCAGGCTTGGTGGCTTGGCTCAGGGAGGAAGTGCCTGCCATGCATGTGCATGCTCACTGGGGCTGGCCTGGGCACTGGGGGTAGGGCAACTGAGGCTTGCATAGGCTGGCCACAGTTTATCCTACACTCTATCTCTTCAGAGGTTAGGCTTTGGCCCCAAGGCTCCCCTGGATCCTTTAGGCAGACAGTCCAGAATTTGTTGGTCTTCTCTGATGAGCACAAGGCTCTTGGATGATCCTTGGTAACTAGCAAACAAATCTATTTAGCTACCTAATAGTTGGGAGTTTTCTAGAGGCCTAGAGGCTCCCCTCATTTTTGTTTAAAAAAAAAATCTTTGAATCGTAGTTTTGTTTGTTTGCTTCATACAAAGTGATGGCTTCATAATGAGATTTTCTCATTATGTTCTCCATAATCCAGAACAGCATGTTCTCCAAATGTTTTAACTCCCATTTGCCATCTCCCATCCCTCTCCTGCATATTCCCTCTTCCTTCTAAATTGCCCCACTCTTATTTTCATAATCATGTTTGTATAGGTGTGTATAAGCTAGGTTTCAAGAAGGCAAGAAAATGCATTTGCCTTTCTGAGTATGGCTTATGTCACTTAGCATGACACTCTCCAGTTGCTTACATTTCTGAATTTGTTTCACTCTTTATTGCTGAATAGAACTCCATTGTGTATACAAACAATATTTTCTCCATCCCTTGTTGGCAGACCCCTTGGCTGACTCCAGAAGTTGGTGATTGTGGCCACTGCTTAGTAAATAAGATATGCCTCAGATTCCTCTGGATGTCTCCCCAGGAATGGAATAGCCAGCTCATACAGGGCATCTATTTTTAGTTTTCTGAAGGGTCTCCATTCTGATTAGCATATTGGCTTTACCAGTTTATGTTCCCAGCAGCAATGTAAAAACCTTCTCTATCCCATAGCCTTACCAGCATTTCTATTGATTAAATGCTTTCTGCCATAGGTAGAACAGGAGAGGGAGGACTGTCCATCTCTGAGGATTTTCTATGGTGTTTTCTGGTGTAGCCTCACCAAAACTCAGAGATCTGGTGCTCCTCTGGCCTCTTGGATCAGAGATTCTCTGTGTCCCAAGAGTTCCAGGGGCATGGTATTTAGGCAGAGCCACAGTCTGCTTGTCTTAACAGTGTTCAACTTCCCACTGTGACCTGGAACAAGGCTGTCAAGTCAAAGGTACAATTTTCCTATGTCTTTAAAACAATTTAATATTTATTTATTCACATGCGTGTGTGTGTGTGTGTGTGTGTGTGTGTGTGTGTGTCTCTGCGTGTGTGTGTGTGTGTGTGTGTGGGTGTGTGTGTGTGGGTGTGTGTGTGTGGGTGTGTGTGTGTGGGTGTGTGTGTGTGGGTGTGTGTGTGTGGGTGTGTGTGTGTGGGTGTGTGTGTGTGGGTGTGTGTGTGTGGGTGTGTGTGTGTGGGTGTGTGTGTGTGGGTGTGTGTGTGTGGGTGTGTGTGTGTGGGTGTGTGTGTGTGGGTGTGTGTGTGTGGGTGTGTGTGTGTGGGTGTGTGTGTGTGGGTGTGTGTGTGTGGGTGTGTGTGTGTGGGTGTGTGTGTGTGGGTGTGTGTGTGTGGGTGTGTGTGTGTGGGTGTGTGTGTGTGGGTGTGTGTGTGTGGGTGTGTGTGTGTGGGTGTGTGTGTGTGGGTGTGTGTGTGTGGGTGTGTGTGTGTGGGTGTGTGTGTGTGGGTGTGTGTGTGTGGGTGTGTGTGTGTGGGTGTGTGTGTGTGGGTGTGTGTGTGTGTGTGTGTGTGTGTGTGTGTGTGTACATGCACATACTTCCGTGCCACCGTGTAAGTGAGGTCAGAGGACAACTTGCTAAAGTTAGTTTTCTCCTTCTACTATCTGGGTCCTGGGAACTGGGGAACTCAGGTCCCCAGGCTTGGCAGCATCACACCATCCCTTATATATTTTGACTCTTTGCTAAACTAGTAGTATTCTGATGGCTGCCCTGCCTTGGTGTTACAGGATCCTAGACAGGCAAGCCCACTCCTGAGGTTCTCCAGGACTACCCTCACCTCCACAGAGTCACTCACCACTCCTGTACCGGAGTGTTTCCTCCTCACTTCTGCCTCCCCAGCCTTAGACTTTGAAATAACCTTCAATTCCCTTGACTCCTTTTCTCTCTGGAACCTGATTAGCTTAGTCGTATGTCACATACATCCCTGGGGATAAGTCACCTGGCCATGCAAACTGACCTCTTATTAAAGTTGCAACACACCTAATGGGGGGGAGGGGGCTCAGAACCTCCATATGATCCGTCATTTTTGTTCTCCAATGACACTTTCAAAATTTATACTTTCCTATAGTCCCTCGTACCCTCAGATCACAGCCCCATCTCACAGATCAGAGAGAAAGAGGTTTCTCCTCTAATAAACCCCCACCCAGTGCTGGGTTGACTTGTTTTGGGAAAGAAGGGACCAACCTGAATCTCTCTGCACCAGATCTTCTTCTTCTACTTTCCACAGCCCTCTTCTCTTCTGCAATGCTTTCTCCTTTGTAGGCAAGACTTCTTCAAAAGTGGAGCCTTTGTCTTGACACTGTCTTCTCTCCCAATCCTATGTCACACATCACACCTTCATGTTGCAGTATCACGGTGTCCAGTCCTAGATGCGGCTTGCCCTTCAGCCTACACCATGAAGATTTTTATCCAGTTCATCCAGTGGCTTCTGAGAGCTCACTGTCTTAATGAAAGCTTTGGCTCCTTCCCAGTCCTCATAGTACATGGCCTCTCAGCAGTGGGGCTGACCCACTTGGGATGCCCATTCTTCCCTCAAGCTTCCAGACACCCCACTCTTTGGGTCATCCCTGTATCAGTGATCTCAGGTCCTTTGGTCACTGTGCTGAGCCTTCACTCTCTTGTAGACCTCTCACACCAGAGACTTGGGCTTCTTGGATCATCTTTGCTTTTTCTTCTGTATTGGTATAAGGATTTCCTATGCCGTCTTTATCTTATGACTCCCAAAAGTTATATCTCAAGCCATGATGATTGATCTGTTCTCCCTACAATGGAAACCCTCCGTACCTTCATCAGAGCCTCCATGCTCCTTGTTTCCTAAGCCCTCACACGACTCATGCTCAGTCTCCATCCATTCAGCCACTATGTCTTCAGCATTCTTTCTCCCACCAGCAAAGGAAGCGCTCATACAATAGCTGTCTCCTGTACCTTCAGTTGTCTTCCTAAAGTGATAGGAACAAATGTAGGGCTTCACCTATCCTTGATGAGTCACCTGACCTGCAGTGTGCATTAATCTGACACATAGCCTCTGGTGTTTTCCTCTAATATTCCAAATGACTCTGCTTCAAGCTATGGCCCTTGTGTTCATTTATCTTTCCCCCGAGAAGACCCTAACTCCTAGTTTTCCTTCTATAGCTGGTACATGAAATGGCCTTGCTTAAACTACCCATCTTATGCCCCCCTCTCTAGTCTGTGTTCTCTTAACTGCTTTCTAGAAATGTCACTGGATTGCCTATTCATGAATCACTCCTTTCACTAAAATGCAGCTCTTTGAGGGGTGGTTCTGTTTTATTTTGCTCATCTGCACATTGCATCCTTGAAGCCTGATATAGCACTTGGCATTGTTTAGGGACACAACAGTGCACATTGACCTATGCACTCTCTCTCCTTCATCATCAGGACATTGGGTTTGAAGATTTACAACATCCCAAGAAGGTGTGGTGTGTTAATGGAGCTGAGTTCTCAGCTCCATCAGGAAACATGGACATTATTCTGAGATCAGTAAAAACATCATCTTCAAACAACAACATAAGCAGCCGTTAAAAATTCCAGACAAAATTTAATTTGGTGACAGTATTCAATTCCTCCTATTTGTGCTGGGAATGTTTATATTTTATATTTTGATAGCACCACTGTAATTTTGATTAGGGGTAGCTTAGATCCGTGGGAAGGTTGCCTCTTCCAAGTCACTCAATGTTTTGAAGTTGGTTTTGACTCTAGGTCTTATCTTGTTATTTTGGAAGCTGAACTACATCATGTCTTGTCAATCTTCCCCAGACTGCCTTGTCCTATCAGTAGTGGCATTATTTACTTATAAAAGCACCTTGCAACACTCTGCTGTCAGTTTGACACTGTAAAGGGGCCTCTGGAATTGAACAACAAATTCAGCAGAATGTTGCAAACTAAAGGCACTGAGTTAGGAATGGCATTGTGTGGTACAATGTGCCCTTCCAATTTTAGCTAATTCTGTGACACTTGGTAAGTTTCCAAGTTATTCTGTATCAGAAAAGCTATCCACAAACTGGAAAGTATGTAAAAATAATTATTTTTGTACCAGAGAGAGCAATAATGTAGTTGCTCTATAAATCAATATTACTACCATATACATTTGGTAACTACTGTCATCCTCATTGAACTCCGTGTCCTTACAGGGCTTACTGCTGAATGAGTAACATGCTTCTTACTTATGTCTTTAAAAGATATTATAAATTTAGATAGGTATGAAACACTACCCAGTTTTCTAAAACATGGTTTGGTTCCAATGTGGCATGCGTTGGACACCTCACCTGGCACAAACTTACACATGTTGAGACTCATGTGATCAAGCACCCCCAAGTCACCTCTGAGAAAAGGGGAGGGAGCCAACTCCCCCAATATGCTATCATTCATTCATGCTCTTGGTGTTTTGCCATTTTTGTTTTCCTAACTTTAATAACAACCCCCCTACCTTTGTTTTCCTATTCACCAAAACAGTAAAATCTTTTTTTAATTATTAAAGATTTCTATTTTGTGTATGTGTGTGAGTCTGTGAAAGTGTTTGCCACATGGGTTCAGGTGTCCATGGTGGCAAGAAGAGGGTGTTTGAGCTGGGGTCTGTCTTACTTGTGTGTCTGGGACAGAACTAAGGTGGTCTACAGAGCAGCAAGTGTTCATACCTTTGAACCAGCTCTCCAGCTCCAAATAGAAACCTTCTTAAGGTAGGTATTTTTTTTTTGTGTGTGTGTGTGTGTGTGTGCGTGTGTGTGTGTGTGCGTGTGTGTGTGTGTGTGTATTTTAATTGCTTTCATGTATAAACTCAGTGGCTATTTTTACAGCTATACAGTAGGTTGTATACCCACCATTGTCATCTAAGTCTGCAGTCTTTCACCTCCCAGATAGAAACTACCCATTCACCATCACCACTTGTTGCCCTGGGCATCAACCCTTCTTCCCTCTGGATCTTTCCTCCCTTCCTTCCTCCCTTCCTTCCGTCCTTCCTTCCAGTGGATCTGACTGCTCCTGGGCCCTCACAGCAACAGATTCCTTCCTCTCAGTGTCTGCTTTACGTCATTGGTGTGCTCCCTGGTGGTCTGCTTTGTGGAAGTGTTTATTTTTGTTGCTACATTAAGAAAAATAAGCCAGCCTGGTCTACAAAGCTACACAGAAAAACCCTGTCTCGAAACCACCCCTCCCAAAAAGAAGAAGAAGGAGAAGTAGAAGGGGGAGAAGGAGAAGGAGAAGGAGAAGAAGGAGGAGGAGGAGGAGGAGAAGGAGGAGGAAGAGGAAGAGGAGGAGGAGGAGGAGAAGGAGGAGGAAGAGGAAGAGGAGGAGGAGGAGGAGAAGGAGGAGGAGGAGGAGGAGAAGGAGAAGAGTGAAAGAAGAGGTCTACAAGCATAAAGAATCACAGATCACAGAGATTTTAAATCCTCATGGGATTTTCTAGAGACTGTTCACAGCCCTTCCTCATGTGAGACAGACATCAGGACAGCAACCGAGGTCTCTGCTCCTCCTAACTTTGTCAAAACCTCCCTGAGGCTGTCAGATGGCTTCATGCCCATCAGCTGTGTGTTCCCAGTGTTGGCTACATCTGCTATCCCATTAGACGGTCTGCTGTGAACGGAAGGTAGCCAGGGAGACCTTGGTGCACACAATCTTCAGGCCTTCTGGTCTCTACACTAGTCTCACAGGTGTATTGTGGAACTCCGTACCATTAGAAGGAGACTGGATACGACAGACAGCTCACAATGGACATAACCAAGCAAGCCTCTTGCCCTGTCTCAGCACAGTCACCATGTATCTGCCACTGTACGGAGCCAACTTACAGTGCCATTTTGCTCTCTTTGCTTTTGCGGATAGCGGTTCTCCAGTTGAAGCTTCTCTCCTATCATTCCACTGAGGATGTACACAGGGGACTCGGGGCCTCTGTATCCTTTAAGTAAGGAGTCCCTTCTCTTTCAGACTTTTGGCTCAAGTTCTCTTCCTTTCTTCCCCAACTCCCTTCATTCCAAAACCCAGAGACATGGGAGGCTTATATTTATGGTTAATTTTCTGTTACTGTGACAAAAAGCATCATGAGCAAGGCAACTTACAGAAGGAAGACTTCACATGGCTCACTGTCCTGGAGGAGAGGCAGGAGGCAGGCAGCAGGCACAGCAGCTGGAGCAGAAAGCTGAGAGCAAAAAGAGAACTGGGAATGGCATGAATCTTTTAACTCTCAAAGCTGCCTCCAGACATCTTCCTCCCATGTGTCCACACTTCCCAACCCCCCCAAACAGCTGAGGACCAAGTGTTCAAGTGCCCAAGACCACGGGGTGTATTTCTCATCAAACCACGGCAAAGTTCCTTCTTCCATTCTGTATAGAAAGGGACAAAGGCCGTCTCCAAACTCTCTTCCACCTCTGGTCCCCAGATAGAGCCACCTAGACTTGCCGGGTATTTGTTGGGGGAGTGGTAGCCTCCAGAAAAATGGAGTCTCCATGCTTTCCCATGTTCAGCCATTTTAGAAACCGACCATGGCCAGCCTGCCTACGAGAGAACTCTCCAGAAATATCATCCACCATCACAAGACAGGGCAGATAGAGAAACAGGCTGGTGGGCTAGGCCCAGAAACATGGTCACCAGAGGGCAGGTGGCAGGAATGCTGGACGACAGGATTCCAAACAATTCCTGTCTGATGTTGAGTTTTCAAAATTGATCTACATAGCATTGCTGACAGTAGATTTTCTGCCAGCAATAAAGGTGGCCTGACTCACAGAATAATTACTGTATGCAAATGAGTGTGATTCTCCTCTGCCCTTTTATGGATGACTCTGCTCTGCCATTCATCAGGACCACAAATTTCACTTGGGAGGAGATGGATTTAAAGAGACAGGTGCCCCTGGAGCTTTGTGGTGAACTTACTAAATCCACGCTAAGTGTCTTCATAAATAGAAGCACATATGCTAGAGACGGGCTGCCAGGCTTTGACATTTTTATCTATGTATTGTTGCTTAGAAAATGGGGAGGCACTCTCCCCTGAGCCTGCTGGTAGAACAGGAAAATCGGGTTCTATGAACCCGGGGGGAACTTCACCCTTCAGGGGGAACCTTTGATGAGAAAAAGTCAAGAAAAAAAGTGTTTTTTATAACATGGCCGTGGTCCTGACACCAAAGAATACAGGAAGTTTGAAATAAGTGAGTTTTGCTTGACAGTAAAATGCTGTAGATGGAAAGCCCAGTGAAGCCGGCAGTGAAGACAAAGCTTTAAAAGCCTGGGCTCAGGGCGGTCAGCCGTGAGTATCACTTACTGCACTTGTAGAGTACCAGAGTTCAGTTCACAGCACCCACATGAGTCAGTTCCACAGCTCACTAACTCCAGCTTTAAGGGACCAGGGAACCTCTTTTGGAAGTACTAGGCACCCACAGGCACATACAGCCCCACCCATATACAAATAACAATATAAATAAATCTTTAAAAAGTAAAATAAAACCAGAAACCATCCCCGAGTTCTTATCTTTGGCCTTGACTCTCTGAGACTTCAAGATGATGTAACAGGTAGATTTCCTTCTAAGGGACAGTGTGTTACTCCAGAATGCATGAAGCCTCGTCATCCTTGGTGATGGAAGATACTGTCAGACCTGCTGAGACTGGAACACAGGACCCATTCTTAGGAACTTGTAGTACATGGCTTGTTGCAGCACAGCATCTTCTGCCTTTGTTCCACATCTGCCATGTGTACCCACACCTCCGAGGGTGGAGGAGGTGTGACTGTTATAGATGTGTGAGCCCCTTCTGTCATCAGGCTGCCTTGTTACTCATGTTGTAACAATATGTTGATGCCAGTACATCCTAGTACGCTCTTCTCCATCACTCCCAGAGTAAAGGCACAGCAGTGTTTCCATGTTCTCATGACGCACACACCACTGGAGGCCAACACTCCCTTCCCCAAGTAAATGCCAATTAAATTTGAAATTTTCTGAAAGCACCAACTGTGTGAGCTGGATTTCTAAGGACTCCTCATGTTCATGGATGCTTCAAGTCTTCCCAATGACTCACTGGAGGAGCATGGGTCGCCTTGAGATCAAAGAAAAAACTGACACTATTTCAATTTTGGCTCAGTCCCCAGTTATACCTTTTGAAAGGGAAACCCATCTTTCTGCTCTTCAGAAATTATAAGAATGAATAACATGACTGGGTGGCCATTTATTTTATCTCCCAACTTCTCCCCAACTATTGTGATAGAACACAAAAGCCAGGCTGCTCAAAGGAGAGAATTGTGTGGGTGCAGTAATTTTTAGTTCACTTTTGAGCTTGTGTGTGTGGCAGCGATCATACTTACATAGAGTCGGTGGGTGAGTGCATGGGTAAACGCCCCCTTTAAGAAATATCCTAAGGGGCTGGCAAGGTGTCTCAGCAAGGTGCCTTTTTCCCTGAGATCCACAGGTGGGAGGAAGAACCAACTCTCTCAAGTTGTCCAAATTCCACACATTTGTATGGTACACACACTCACACACACATAAAAATGTAATAATTTTAAAGGAAATATTCTCAAGAAAGATATAATTCAATAGAAAACATCCCAAATGAATTTATGTGGTAATTGTTCCTAAGTTTATCACACACACCACACACACACACACACCCACACACACATAAACACACACACACACACACACACACACACACACAATGTGTACTATTTTGCCTCCCTCCCTCCCTCCCTCCCTCCCTCCCTCTCTCCCTCCCTTTCTCCCTCATTCCTTTCCTCCTTTCTTCCTTGGTGCCAGAATAGAAGAAGGAAGTAAAAGCAGAGTTGACTGCATGAGGTTGCAAGATTTATTTCAAGCTGGTAATTTTTGGCTTCCAGCTAGGGAGAAGGTTCAGCGGTTCACAGATTTGCTGCAGAATTGTGAAGATCAGAGCTCAAACATCCAGAACCTACCCAAACACTAGGTGGGTGTGGCAGCTCACCTGTACTTCCAGCCTCAGAAGGTGAAGACAGAGGAGCTCTAGGTCAAGCTGGCTAGCATGATGAACCACATGTGTGAGTTCTGACTTTGATTGAGAGCGCCTGCCTCAATGAATAGGAGGAAGAGTGATCAAGGAAGATTCCCAGAATAACCCCTAGCCCCCACAGACAGGCACACATACATGCATGTGCAATCAAGGACTTGTATGCCCGAATGCATTCACATATTCATATATAGCTGCACCCTCAACACACATAAAGGAAGAAAATCCGAAAACTTAGAATTGCTAAACAGCATAAGAATGAAATACGTAATAGTTGAAGAGGAGCCAGTTCCCAGGCAAGAGGCACAAATAGCATTAATTCTCAGCATGTCCATTAATTTTAGCTTCTGAAAATGTCTGTCACCTTTGTTGTGGGCTAAATTTTGTCTGGTCCCTAAAAGATATGTTGAAATCCTTGGTACCTCAGAGTATGACTTTCCTTGAAGATGAGGTCATTACAGAGGCCATCAAGTTTGAAGGATTGGCTCTAATCCATGATATGACCCATGCCCTCATGTGTTATGATAAATCTTTCTGCCAAAAGCCGCCTGAGCCCCACTGCCATGTGTGAGCTTTACAACAGCCGCCTGCCTGAGTTAGGCCCAAATGAATACACAGAGAGACTTGTATTAGTTACAATGCTGCTTGGCCAATGACTAGGATTCTCATCTGTTAGCTCAGTCTCAATTATCATACATCTATATATTTTATAAGACTTATCTTAT